TCAGGTTGTTTATTCATGAGTTGGAACCTGGCCTGGAATTTGACTGCCTTGTGCCCTAGGTTGGCAGAGGCAGGAAGATGCCATCTTAGACACGCAGCCTATTGTTTGGGAGAGGAGCTGCACATCTTCTGTGGTGGGAAGATGCCATCATAAAGGTCTTTGTACAGGACAGTAGTGGACACGACATTTGGATAAAGTAAATGACCATCATTGGCCTCAGTAACTCTTGTTTATCCCATTTGTTAAATAAATCCCTTTGTTGTTATTTCTTAAGCTTGAGCTATCTTGCAATTGTGGGCATGGGTAAAGAACCAAGACAGTATTTGGTAAACTATTTGGGCTGTGGGGCCTTGGCCAGTTTAGTCTTTCTCCTCCTGGCTATCAGATATAAAAGAAAGAATAAACCTCGAGTTTTCAAGAAGCCAAACTTGTTCTCTTCAAAATATGTCTCCTGAGAAAATTTTTCAATAAATTCACTGGCTCTAAGATCATATGTAGATATTGTGGTTTTGACTTCATTTAACTCAGGATATTCATCAATACTGAGCTAATTCTATTTGAGCTTCTGTTAAACATGAATGGTTATTAAGTATTATCACATTTTAAGATAAATTAAAAGCTTAAAGTTAAAGGAACATAGAGAACCGTATCGAGTTGTTGACATAAGATTTCCATAATCTATGTATAGCAAACTGTACCCCAATGGAGAAGGCAATAACCCATGAATTTTAGAAATCTCATATCTTTGCTTTTTCTTTTCCTGAAAGAAGCACATGGAGAATCAACAGATGCATTTTGATTATAACAGATCTCTTGGGAAGCTTTCATATGTAGATTAATACAAGAGAACTTGTGTCTACAGGCTGGCGTGACATTGTGTAGCTTTAGACACTGTCATGCTGATTACCACATACGCCAACTGCCACATAAATCATCTTTATAAATAAAACTTTGCATACACACGCAAACCTCAAAACACAGCAATAAATTGGTCATGACTCCTGTCTCAAATGGTGCCACTCCATCACTTCCATTAGTGAGTTGGAACTGATGGCACCTTGGTGAATGCCTTTGTCTCATCTATCATGATACACCTCATATTTTAATATATAACTGCTACAGTGGGCCTTTGGAGGAAAGAAAATTTTAGTATCCTGCATTGTCATTTTTTTATTTTTTATTTTTTATAAATCTTTTTGCCTACAGCAAACTTAAAAAAAAATTACTTGGAAATGTTAAGTAACCAAACCTTTTATAAAACATGTCAAGATTAATTACTATTTTCACTTATGAGCTGTATAGACTGTTTCCTAAGATTCTCATCTTATTAGATACAATGATTCATATTCTCTTTCTTGGCAAAATTTCTGCTTTTCTTGCAGCTATCCCCATCAATAATGTAAGTAGTGATAGGATTCTGCCAACACTTAAAAATACAAAAAGTCAAAACCTTTCAAGAATTTCTTTAGTCTTGGATACCCTAGACTTTAATATTTGGTGATTTGGTACTTTATATCTCTCATTTTACTTACCTGTATTATAAGAAAGATGGTACCCTAGACTTGAGTGTTGTCAAAATGAAATACTAAATATTCTAATCCACGGTCTCCTTTTCTGGCATCTTGCAGTGCAAACCCTGAAGTTACTAGGTTTTGAAATAATTGTTTGCTCATTTTTTCAAGTAATGTTACTATGGCAGAAACTGAGATGAATATTTTAACATCTGTTTCCAACACTTCTTCCCTTTCTGTATTCTTCTAACAGTGTGCATCTTGTGTATTTAGGTTATGTGAGCTGGCTAGTTAGAAATCAGTGAAATCTCTGTGTGGGTTTTCCAGAGAGTTTTTGCTTTTCTTCTACAAAGGCATGACTTGGTCAGAATTCCCCTATCTTGAAGAGAAATATGATGCTGGGAACTTTTATAACAATAGGGTGACAAGTTTGAGAATTAGAGACTTACTGGTCCTGACAGCTGGGGCTCTGAACCATTTCCAATAGCGAACCCCCATGTCCAGACTTCTTGTCATGGAAGAATAATATTCCCTGATTTAGTCAAGTCACTCTGTGGCAAGTTGTCTTATCTTGGCAGCTGCAAATAAACTGATGTGATTATTATTTGATGCAGTAATAGAAATCAGTTTTAATTTGGACCCCAAATGTCCCATTGAATTAAGAGGGAAGCTTTCATCTCAGGAGAAGGTCTAAAGTGAGTCAAACAATAAAATGGGTTGTATTTTGCACATTTTTTAGGCCAACCTTTATGATAACTAAAAAATAAAAGCCTCCTATTTGCAATTAAGATGAAAGTTTATTAAAATTCAAACTCCATACTGACATTAAAGTCTTCTTTGATATTATAGCAATGGTCTATCCATAATCTTCTGGAAAATCAATGCAGATTCTGTTCTTTTTTCTCATAACTGCCTCAACATGACTTATTTACCCCTTTATTAGCTTCTGTCTCACTTTTCCTTTCATTTTATTTTTATTTTTATATAGTGTTTTAAAGATCTATTTATGCATACAAGAGCTGGTCTGTAGGCCGGAGAGGGGAGGGTGAGAGCTGGGAGAGACAGAGTGAGGAACAGAACAGGCAGATGTAATGAAATATACTGCTGAGGGGAGCAGTGTGGGAGACTGGAGAGGTCGGCTATGACATGTGGGTCAGCTCTCTGGCTGGGCTGCAAATAGCTTCATAGCACTGAGACTTAACCCCTTGTGCCACCAGCGGGGCTCATCTTTTATTTTCATTTTTGACCACTTGAGTCCCATCTGACTGGTAATACAGGTCTTACATGACGCAGACTCATAATGATCATAAAGGGCTCCCCCAGCGCAGACCTTAATTACTTGATCACTAATCTGGCAATATTCTTTTTTTTTTTTAATATTTATTTATTTATTTGTACATACAGAACTGGGGTACATGCCAGAGGTGCAGGGGTGGCGAAAGGATTCACCAGAGACAGAATGTGGAGCATACTGCTAAGGGGAGCAGCGAGCGGGTCAGAAGAGGTCTGCCGGAGCCACGTGAATCACCTCCGGGGCAAGTGGGGGTGGAACTCATGCGGAAGTAGCTTTCTATTGTTAGTGCTGCGTTTTAACCCACTGCGCCACCAGAGAGGGCCAATCTGGCAATATTCTTATTGCATCTCTTGTTGGTCTTTTTTCTTTTATAATGCTTGAATCTTCAAGCAGATCATAAACTTTTTATATATGCAGAGACTGTGTTTTATACCAAATGTGGCATGATTAGTTCCTTTCTCAAGGTAGAGATACAGGTTTGCTGATTTTTTTTTTTTTTAGATTTATTTATTCATACAGGACTGGGGTACAGACAAGAGGAGCAGGGGCAGCGAGAGGATTCACCAGAAACAGAGTGGGGAGCAGAACAGGAGATCAGTGAGGTACACTGCTGAGGGGAGCAGCGGCTGTGACAGGAGAGGTCTGCCATGCCATGTGGGTCACTTCCCTGTTGGGGATCTAATTCGCAGTAAATGGCTGCTGTTAGCTTCGCAGTGCTGGTGCTAGAAAAGTTGCACCACCCAGGTTTGTTGAATTTATGTATAAAATGCTTCTCATTTTTCTTTGTTCAAGATTTTTTTTTTCTTGCTTAGCTATCACAATGCTACACATTTTTTCTGTCACTAAAATTTAAACTACATGTTAAAGAAAGTATGAGCAATATGCACTCTCAGAAATTGCAATATAAAATGTAATTGAAGGGGGCAAATGAATTTGATTAGATAATTCGAAAATAAATTTAAGTGAATAAGAATTCTATGTAAAAAGGACAGTCTTATTATAATTTCACTCATGTGGTATATAGAGCAAACAAACAAAAGGAGTAACTAAATAAATAAAACATAAATAAACTCTTGGGTATAAAACAAATTCGTGGTTTTCCAAAGGGAAGGGGAAAAAGAGAAGGGTAAATAAGGTAAAAGGGGATACAGGTCTGGTGAAGGACAGGCTTGGACTCTTAGTAGTGAACATAATGTATTCACATATTGAAGTTTGGTGATGCACACCTCAAGCATAATGTTACAATGTGAAGTTATTTCAATTAAAAAAAAAAAAAACAAACAAACTAAGAGGACTCCTTGGGATGCAGAGTAAGTCAAAATCTCAGCACTAACAAGCTATCACCAGCCACTGTGACTGAGTTCCATCCCCCACCACGAAGCTGACCCACATGATGTGATAGACTTTTCCAGTTTCACCCCCTACTCCCCTCAGCAGTATATTTTCAGTCAGTCTGCCTGTTCTGCTCCCCACTCTGTCTCTGGTGAATCCTCTCATTCCCAATCCCACACCTCTGGCCTGTACCCTAGTTTTTGTATGCATAAATAAATAAAATAAATCTTTAAAAAAAAACTTACTAGTAATATTGAAAACAATACAAGTTAAAATAACAAGATATCCTTGTTTCACTTCTTAAATTAAAACAATTCTTATAAGGCATGGGGCCCAATACCTTTATTCTGTTTTTCTCAACGGAGACAGGCAGTCTCACTGTATTTCTTTGTTGTGTTTTTCCTTCATCGCTTTCTTCTTTCACTTACGTCCATTGTGAATAGCCATCTTGAAGGTCACTAATATGGGCTTCCATTTGCTTTCTTTGGCTTCATAGCTTTCTGAAGAATTTTTTATGTCTTCTTCTGAAATTGTTGCATCCTGGAACTCCTTTTCTTTCTTGTTTTAATTTTCAGTTCCTTTTCTCTTACTGTGTTTCTCACATCATTCACACTGCACCCCCAGCCCCCGTGTTTCCTCAAATTCACTATCCTGGCAAGTTTTAATTCTCTGATAAGAGCGAAAAATCTTCTACATGTTGGTGATTGGGTTCTGGGGCACTGGTTTCCTGTTAAGAGTATCCTGTTCCCTTGGGAGCTCATGTAGTTAGTATTGTGCTTTTTGTCTGCCATTTTGTTATTTCAGATCTTCCCAGGGCACTAGCCCTCTTCCTCCCCCTCCCTTTTTAGTTAAGCCACACTTACTTCTTTTGCTCCCTTTCAGCCAACTAATCAGGCAGTGATGGTTCAGGGAATTGATTCCTACAGCCCTGCAGGTTAGAACAGAGGGAACCAGATAAGGTTACCAGGTAAGGTTTTGAGTAGAAATAAAATGATTGTCCCATTTGTCATATTCTCTAAAAAACTCCTAGAGAGAGGAATGTTAAGGATTTGTAGATGCCATATTTTTGAATAGTTACATTTGAAACCAATAAAACTCTATGAATAACTTAATAATGGATAAACCAATTTCTGAATTAAGAAACTATAAGTGCTGATTACTTGAAAGTATCCTTCTGGTGTGGTTATAAAGTGATGTTATTTCAATTAAAAAACAAAACAAAACAAAACTAAGGGGACTCCTCAGGATTCAGAGTAAGTTAAAATCTCAGCACTTATATAAAGCTATCACCAGCCACTGTGGCTGAGTTCCATCCCTAAACACACTTCATAATTTTCACAGTTTTTCCTTCAATTTTGTATCAGCTTAGGTGATGGTTGGAATAATGCAAACCTTTGACATCTCTATGAACTAGCAGATCCTATTTTATATTAAATTAACATAAAATATTCTAAAAATGTATGTATGTGATAATAAGTGCACATAGATATAATAGAGTTTATATATTCAGTTCAATAACAATATATCATCTATTAAAATTCACACACTTTGAAATAAAAGAATGATGTTCATAATTCCATTCTGTTAGTCATATACTAGCTTTTGAGATTTTAGGAAAAACATGAACATGGAAGTATAAAAATGGACCAAATTCCCCTTCTTACTCTAAGAGTGCACTATGCATGAATAAATCTCCTACTGCTCAGTACACATGAACAGTAGGATAAAAATGAATGCATTAAAGATGATCTTTCAGGTGAATTCTTTAGTGTTCAGAATTACTACTCCATGTACAAAGCAATCAGGGGTTAAAAGAAAGTACTCTTTCAGGAAAATAAAATGGATTTTATGTTTTTGAAGACCTTGTAAAAATATTTTTAATTTTGATTATTTAAAGATTTACTTTAGACATTTGGGACCTTCAACTGATATTTTTTCCACATTCTTAGATTTCTGTCTTCCTTCTGAGAATGAGACTTGTGATAATTATATCAGTCTATTTTGTTTTATTTTATTTATTTATTTTTAAAAGATTTGTTTATTTGTGCATAAAGAACTGGGGTACAGGTCAGAGGCTCAGGGGCGGTGAGCGGCTTCACCAGAGACAGAGTGGGGAGCAGAACAGGCAGATGGACGAAGTACACTGCTGAGGGGAGCAGCGGGCGGATCAGGAGAGGTCTGCCACACCATGTGGATCACCTCTGGGGCAGGGGAAATCAAACTCACACGGAAGTGGCTTAAGCTTCTTAGTGCTGTGCTTTAACCCGCTGCTCCACCAGGGAGGGCCAGTCAGTCTATTTTATTTTTCTAACAGTTACTAACTAAAGAATTCAAAACTTTCCCAATAAGTATATTAAGTAAATAAACCTAAATTCTTATATGTAGACTAGCTTTGAAATACTATTCAACTATACTTGCTTCCAAGGGTGACTTGAGGAAGCTGCAATAGTAAAATCATGATCTTTAAGATCAGCAAGATTATGGGATGTTAGAAAGGGTTTTAATTTCCCTTAGATTTTTCCATTTTAGAATGAGAAATAAGAACTCATATTTCAACTGGTCATCTGCCACCTAAAACATGCCCAAGTGAATGTCCTTCCTTGTCTCAATACTCTAGCAGTGTGTGGTGGGATGGCCCACCCCTTGCAGTTGAAATTTTCCTTCCTAGATTCTGGAATATTCTTGTCACTTTTTTTTTTTTAAAAGCCTTATTTATTTATGCATACAGAACTGGGGTACATGCCAGAGGTGCAGGGATGGTGAGAGGATTCACCAGAGACAGTATGGAAAGCACAACAGGCAGATCGAGGTACATTGCTGAGGGGAGCAGCGGGCAGGTCAGGAGAGCTCTGCCAGCCATGTGGATCACCTCCCGGCCTGGGATTGAACTCACACTGAGGGGTGCTGCAGCTAGCTTGCAGTGCTGCATCCTAACCCATTGCGCCACCAGGGTGGGCTCCCTATCACTTCGTCTAGCTGATTCTAGTTTTAGGCAGTATCCCTGGGGCTTGTTGAACTTCATATGCTAGTTCAAGGCTAGCTGGACACTCAGATTTCCTTCATGAGCCAGATCTTTCTCTTGAGTTCTAGAATCATATATCTACTACCTATTGCACATGTAGATGCCTAATAGCTATTATAACCTTAATAGGAGTAAAACAGAGTTTTAAAAATTAAGTCTTTCTTGGGGCCCTCCCTGGTGGCGCAGCGGGTTAAAGCACTGCACTAAGAAGCTTAAGCCACTTTCGCATGAGTTCGATCCCCGCCTGCCCCGGAGGTGACCACATGGCGTGGCAGACCTCTCCTGACCCGCCCACTGCTCCCCTCAGCAGTGTACTTCGTTGATCTGCCTGTTCTGCTCCCCACTCTGTCTCTGGTAAATCCTCTCACCCTCCACATCTCTGGCCTGTACCCCAGTTCTGTATGAATAAATAAATAAATCTTAAAAAAAAAAAATTAAGTCTTTCTTCACAGTAAATTGCGCTAGCCTCCGTCATCGCTCAGACCAAAAACCTAGGAGTCACTGTTGAGTCCTACTTTTTCTCAACCCTGTATGTAAACTCAGTAAATTCAGTTAGCCCTGCCACCAAAATATATTCGTGATCCATCTGCTTCTCACTATTTTACATTAAAGGAAATAAACTAAGTAGGACTTTCTAAATAAATAACTTAGAAATATATTAATTGCATCATGAGTTATTTTCTCCTGCCTAGGTATGAGCCTGTTCCTTGTCCTTTTCCATTTCCTTTACATACCTTTGGATTGTTTGGTTAATTTTAGTCATCTGATTCTTCTTGTTAAGGTAACTGACAATTATATAGACCAACTCCATCTTTTATACAATGTCAGAATTCACTTTCATTCATAGTGTTATAGTCCGAATAATTGGTTTTCTATTTCTTTGTAACACCAAAACATTTTTTTTAAAGATTTATTTATTTGTGCATACAGAACTGGGGTACAGAACAGAGGCTCAAGGGCGGCGAGAGGTTTCACCAGAGACAGAACGGGGAGCAGAACAGGCAGATCAACGAAGTACACTGCTGAGGGGAGCAGCGGGCGGGTCAGGAGAGGTCTGTCGCACCATGTGGTCACCTCCAGGGCAGGCTGGAATCTAACTCATGTGGAAGTGGCTTTAGCTTCTTAGTGCTGTGCTTTAACCCGCTGCACCACCAGGGAGGGCCACCAAAAACATTTTTAATGAACTTTTAACAACTTCAAATTTTTGAGTAAAAGCTAGAAGAGTTTGGTGCCTCCCTGGTTGCTCAGCACTGAGAAGCCAAAGCCACTTCAGCATGAGCTCAATCCCCCACCGGGGAGCTGGCCCACAAAGTGCAGCAGACCTCTCCTGACTTGCCCGCTGCTCCCCTGAGCAGTGTGCTTTGTCAGTGGGCCGGTTCTGCTCCCCACTCTGTCTCTGGTGAAGCCTCTCACTACCCCTGCACCTCAGCTCTGTATGCATAAGTAAATGAATCTTTAAAAAAAAAAATCTAAAGAGTTTTATTTTAGAATTTAGTTTCAATCAAATTTTAAGCCACCTGCTTACAAAATTACATTCAGATAAATACCAAATTTGAATGTTTCTTTTGAGATTTGATACTCCCTCCCACATGGATAATTCTATGAACCAGATACTCAGCATCTTTAAACCCTGTGTAAACAGAATATTTGGCTGATAATCTGCCTGTTTATGGAATATTTCTTTTGCTCTAACTTACTTTCACATTAATTTATATCAGATGAAATTAGCAAGTGGGTCCATAGTAAATACACTTAATAAACCTAAGAGCTCATATGTTACTTCCCTTTCAAATTTATTAAATGTGTTATTTTGTTAGAAATCTCTTTTAATGTATTTTCTTAAAAATATAATATTCAAAAGTAGTTGAAAAGATATTTTGATTATTGGGGGGGAGAACAAGGAAAAATACAGGGGATGTCAAACAAGGGAGAGAAAAAAAAAACAGTTTCTCTGAAGTCTCACTTGGATTAACTTTAACTTTATAAACTAATGAACATCTGCTACTGGCTTCTAGGATGGTAAGAAAGCAAGAAAAAGGTAAGAATTGCTGGATCAACTGCTCAGGAATTTGAAACCACAGAATATGGTAGTCCTTTGGGATGCTAAATATTCAGGCATCTGTTAGGTAACAGATTTAGCTAAACACAGATCATCAAAGGAATACCAAAATTATGTTGAGGACAAGTTTATAATCCATAAAGCAGAAAATCAGCCACAAGGGAAGCTATCCTGGAAGAATGTAACTATGATGATTGGTCTTAGAGAAAAATGTATTTCCAAATATTTAATCCTTTCACTTCTTCTCTGGCCTTGCCTAAAATGTATGCCAGCCAAAGGGGAAGAGGCTGACCTAAGAAAACCAAGTTAAAGTATATAGACCAAAAAAAGTATATAGACCAGGCCCTCCCTGGTGGTGCAGAGGGTTAAAACGCAGCACTAAGAAGTTCAAGTCACTTCCGCATGAGTTCAATCCCCGCCTGCCCTGGAGGTGACCACATGGTGAGGCAGACCTCTCCTGGCCCTCCCGCTGCTCCCCTCAGCAGTATGCTTTGTCAGTCGGCCTGTTCTGCTCCTCACTCTGTCTCTGGTGGCTCCTCCCACCCTCCGCATCTCTGGCCTGTACCCCAGTTCTGTATGAATATATTTATTCATATAATAAATCTTTAAAAAAATAAGAAAAAAGTATATAGACCAAAGTCCTCCCACCCCCAAAACCCCTTTTTACCTTAGATGCTAATGGACTGTCCCAAATGAGGTGTAATTTAAGTTAGTTACCTCAGTTATTTGCAGGCTACATTTTATAGTCACAAAGGGAAAGTGGTTTCCTTGTTCTTTACAAGTAATTTATTTTCTTAAATGGTTCTATAAGTCATAGATTTCTAGAAGAGGTTGAAATGGATAGCCT